TTCCATCCAGCAGAGCTATAGGCCGCACAGCAGAACTTTACTGGGAAGCTCCCAGGTGTGTGAATGTGTGTGAAGCAGGTTAAGTGCTCAGTCAACCCTCCCTGCATAAATAAGGATTAAGAAATGCAGGGGGCATCCTCTGCTCTGTCAGTTGGAGTGTTTAATCTCCACAGTAATTAGCTTAGTGCTGCCCTGCTCTCTTTGCTAAAGCAGGACAATGTAATCAACAACGCCGTCCAGGGGGATTTTGAGACCGAAATTGGATACACATAAGAAACACCTGTGTGCAACAATGTGTTTACCAAAATACAATATCTGATGTACGCTATGGATCCCTTACATTTACATTTACTCATTTGGCAGACGCTTTTATCCAAAGCGACTTACATTTGAGGAACAACACACAAGCATCAACAGAACATCAAACAACTGACAATACATACTAGTAAGAGCAGCAATAAGTACTAGTAAGAGCAAATAGTGACACTCCGTCTTTCACTGAGTCTGACCAAATTGTAGAGTCAGTGGACACTACACTTACTACTTACTGCACTACTCTGTAATGCAGGGTTCAGACCACAGGAAAATGATGCTCTTCCAGGTTCTTTTTCAGGTAGGAGAAGTCAAAGATACTTCAGATCCTGGCTTTACATTGGATCAGTACTTCTCAAACTTCTCAAAAGTTTTTTGTCAAGGAAGTGACTTTCATAATGTTGTCAGACAATAGCAATTTGAGCATGTCAGTGGAAAAAACAAGCACTTGAGTGGACATACTTTGACAGTGTGCAGTTGCCCGCAAGGATTATGATGCTGCTGTTTTGCTGCTGCTGACTACGGGCCTCCAGCTCTATACTGGACAAACTTCAAAACAGGTTGTCCCATTTAATCACATAGATAAGGTCCAGGTTGATAAATACCAAAGGTAGACCTTAATAACCATCTTGAAACCACATCCAAATTGGAAACTGGGAATTGGAACCAAACCCTGGTTGTAAGGTATTAATTTATGCAGCTGGATGATCACGTCGCTCACCTCATATTCACCCCAAATCCACTCACGCTGCCCTCAGCTTCACTGGCACTGTTCAAAAGAAAGTAGTTGTAAGATTGAGAACAGAGATGTACAAGGATACACAAATACACACATTACCATTGCTCTTTCAGTCTGATGTGCATTGGGCTCTCTGTTCCTCTGAAGAGTAGGCTACTTGAGGCAGGTAATCAAGCAGGGATTAGGTGGTTGGTGGCTCAGACCTCCTTGGTTTATGCTGATGATGCTCATCTCTGTGAGATAGACAGCAGGACACACAGACACATGTTTTTGGACATTGGGTAGGTAATTATCTGGATACTTTATCTAACCTTAACCATAACCTCTGCCCTTGCACTTACACTAATGTCTGAATCCTAAAATTAAAATTTAAAGTTCCCTTGTTTCCCAATAATTACATGAGATATGACCACACCCCACATAGAGGTAGAGATTCTGTCACTTTTGCACCTTTTTGATATGACAAAATTGTGCTAAAAAGCTAATTTTAAAGCTACATTGTTGTTGAACAATCAGCAATCTCTTCAATCATCTATTGTTTATTTAGTAAATGAATTACTTCTTTAAAGGCATACATACAACATATACAGCATGGTTTGGCCCAGTCGAACAGGTGTGGTGGGTTAAATGTAAACTATATTTTTCAATTGTGTTTTTTTCTCAATTTGATCAATGAAAAACTGTATGCCAATTCAACAGGGATGTCTGTAAGTCAACTTACAATAATCAATCACATTCTGTCGCTCTTTTTCGTGGATTTCAAATGTACACCAGATCTATTTGAATCACTGAAAAAAATTTTGATGTGGCCTGCAATTCAGAAGTCTGCCAAGAGGCAAAATAGTTTGAATAAAAAATTAAATACCGGTTGCAAGTATACAGTAGATAAAATTTAAAAGAGGACAACAATGTATCCATTAACATTCTTCATTCAACATTAACGTTCTTCACGACATTATGAAATTATAATCTTAGACCCTCAATGGGAACAAGGAGAAACTTCCAGGGAAATGAGAGAGTGATTATCTTTCAATTTTTGAATAACCCCATGTAGCCTTAACATAAGTGAATATGACTATATTAAGCCTGGATCAATGAAAATGAAGCAGCGTCATAGAAAATAAGGGAAAGGGTCATATAGTTCTCTGTAAAGTCATCAAGTGTGTGATGGGAAAATATAATGAGTGTGAACTGGCCTTTTCTTGGTATGAAATCTTCTTTGTTCAGCGCTTCCATAGTTTATAGTGACTAGGGATGAAACGGTATGAAAATTTCATATCACGATTATAGTGATCAAAATTATCACGGTTAACAGTATTATCCAATGTATTGTAATAATGTGCCGAAAAAGATTAAAATGTACTAGTACACACACTGAAACCATTTCAACAAGTTTTATATTTAAAACTACAAATAAATTTACCATTTTGTTTGCATGAACAATAATATAACAGCCAATACCTTTTGTAAACATCAACATGTGCATTATCAAGATTTTATATATTATATAGGTAATGCAATGACCCCATGCACAATTACATTAAAACAAATAAGTCTTTAGAAGACAGTGATAGCAACAGCAATGAGCCCATCGACTGACGTAAATACAGACGAGTCTGCTGCGTTTCTCCTGTTCTGACACTTAATTTGATAGCTGCTAATTTGATAGCTGCTAATTTGACTGGGTGACTAAACTGCTTAACGTGTTTTCACGTGCAGGGGAAGAATAAACTCTGCTGACACACGACGCACACAGCAACAGAACAACGTGTAGTGTTTTTACACGAGCAGCAACACTGAGAGCTTCAGTTTACACGCTATTAGCAAGTTAGACAGACAAACCAAAGCTAAGAGTTAACTCACCCTGCGTTCACTATAAGGCTGTTTTCTTCAATCAAGTTTCCCTCAGCGCTCACATATAAACTAAAATACGACCATGGTTTATCGTTAAACTGGTAATTGTTTCATCCCTAATAGTGACACTTTCTTGCAAATGAGCATTATTGAAAGGCACATAGCAGAGTTCAGTTACAATTGTTCATTTTTTGTTCATTTTAGTGGCTGGAAAGAGAGCTAAACACAGTTTGTCTTAGTTCCTTTTGAGGATATATCTCTGAGCCATAGTCCAGAGGAGGTTCAGCAAGGCAAACAATAGCCTACAGACGAAACTTCCGCTTACACGTTTCTATTGAAAGAAATTGTGCCCCGTCTCATTTGTTACTCTTTACTTTTGTTATTTTACCTGTGTTTTTAAGCATTTGGACTTCCTTTTGAGAATTTTAGTAGCATCTGATATTCAGTACGTGCAACCCCCCCAAAAAACTCCCAGAGAAATGCAAGTCTGCTATAAATAATACAATTTAAAGGAAACGTAAAGCTCCACAGGTAACATTTTATTAGTCAACATAATGAAGAAACATTTTTGATGAATGTACCTGAAACATCACTGGGATTTAATTTGCTTTCCCTACTTTGTCTACTCATAGCAACAATATCATGATTATTGTTTTATGGTCTCTTTGTGACTCAAGTTTTTCTGATGTTGACTGTATTTTCACCAAACATCGATCTGATTCTCGTCTGGCCTGATGGGCTCCAGCACAAAAAAAAAACTTGGTTGTTGGTTTTTATCCTTACGTGGAGTTTGTTGTTGGAGTCTGTATTGTGCTGGGAGCCGGTAGGTTTTTGGTTTTAGTGGACTCCATATCGTTAGTTGCGGTGTTGTTGCTGAGTGTACAATACAGATTCAACAGGCTTGGGAGCATGCATGTGCAGCCAATGGATTTCCCGGAAAAATCTGCACTTGAATGCACCGTGAGCCGCTGGCTGCAAGTAGCAACCCTCACTACTAAATGCCACTAAAACTTACACACTGAACCTTTAATCAATAAAGTTTGTTTAACTTACAAAATAAAGTTAGTCAGTTAAAGTTTTAAATGTAATCAGTTTCAGTAATTCTTTTGAGTTAAATAAAGTTAGGTTTAGGTTAGGTTTAGGTTTTACAATTTGGGGAAAAACATTTGATCCCACCTTTTTTATGGGATGGAGCGTAGTGCAGAGAAATCTACTTGTTTATCCTGTAATATTGGCAAAGACATTATTTGTTTGGACTCTGATGAATTATGATTCAGGATGTTAATTGCCTTCAAAGTTGATCAATGTCAAGCTGACAATTCTGCACAAATATGCTGTCCACAGTGGTTTATGGTTTCTTTGCACTGTTTTGGTGATTTAAAAGACAAAACGTATTGCACTGGCTAAAATTAGCATACGCTTTGTGTTTTGTGGTCATGTCCTGCTGCTGAGTTGGGGATAATATCTTTATTTCCATTTACTGTATATTAGTGTACAATATTCAATTCTGCATGGAATCTTCTGACTGACTGTGCTGCTCTTACTAGTATGTATTGTGTATTGTGTGTCTCATGCTGTATTTGATGCTTTGTTGATGCTTGTATGTTGTTTCTCAAATGTAAGTCGCTTTGGATAAAAGCGTCTGCCAAATGAGTAAATGTGTGTGTCTGTTCCTTAGTTTGTTGTTGTTTGTCCTATGTGGGTAATTGTGATTACTTCTTCCATTCATCTTTTCATGAGCTTTCGAGATGCTTGACTGCTCCAATAATAATGGCCATTTACTGTATTGTTATGCAGAGAAGGAATTTATATTTTCTCCTATAGTTCAATCAATAACTGAAATGGTTCACTGGAGCCTCGGGATCGAATAAACAAGACAGGACAAAAGAAAAATGTTGTTTGTTTTATAACATGGGACAAACTTTTAAATTTATACATGACAAAAATGACAATGACAATTTTGTTCCCATAAAATTAACTATTCTGTAAGATATACATCCACTATACGCTTTAGAAGGCATAAATCCAAACAGCTATTCAGTCAAAATGCAAAATCTGAATCACAGTTTTATTTATTTTTTCACCTCTTTTCCAGACAAGTTCAACGCCTACGTAACTTTAAAAGTGCAAAATGTGAAGAGCACCACCATCACAGTCCGTGGGGATAAGCCATGTTGGGAACAAGACTTCATGTTGTGAGTATCATCCTGTTGCTGTTCTTACTTTAAACAAATGACTTACTGTATGAGCTTTTATTTATCACTGGATTTTTACAATGAAGACCCAAATTATCAGTACAATGAAAATACATTTTGATGAATCTATGGCACTAAGTTTAGCTGAAGTGACATGAGTTTCAGTTTTGACCACTCTTGCCTTGGTTTCCAATTTCCTCCAGTTGCTTTTTTGGCTCAGTGGCTCACTGTCACTTATATTAGCAGCAACAGCATGTTCGGCACCAACCTCTTGGGATGCATTAAGACAATTGCAGAGAGAAGATGAATCTTCGGAGTGTGTGTCAGCCCTTAGATGAATACAGACCAGGTATCCACTGCTAGCTGACCTGCTAGCTAGGCCTTACTGAAATGGAAAGGGAGTGTCAGCCATCTGTGGGACTCCAGTCTGGCCGGCTGGCACAGGCTACTAAATGGGAATTTGTGGTTAGAGGAGGTAGGATGGATGGAAAGTGAAATTACATGCCGAGCTCAGATAAGTGGATGAGTCAGTGATAAATCGAATGAATTGTCCAGCCCAGTCTGATTCCACAGGGGAGCAAAAGTACAGATATAGCTCATGTAGAAATCCTACTTTTCTTTTTGTGCTTGCGGAAGTAGTGCTGCTTCTTGTATCCAAAGCCTTAAGGACTTATTTTGGAGGAAAAGGTTTTTAGGGATGGGCCGGTTAGCCATTGCTGGTGGAGATGTGTGTAAATAGCAGAAGGACAGAAAGCACAGAAAGCCAAAACGAGCCGTATGTTAGGTGGCATGGCTCAGATGGGGCAATTGTAGACATTTTTACAGCATGTTTTCTGAACTGCTCCGGCATTTTTGTTCTGTCCTCCAAAGCAAAATTGTTTACAAAAATGAGGCCTTGCTGTCTTTTCAGATAAATGGATTGGTACATTTTTCAGATTTCTCTCTAGAGTTCTTTTGTGTAACAGAATAGGTTAAATTAAATAGGTAAGGTTAAATATAACTTTTGTTTCAATAGCTTATAGCAAGTGCTTATAGCAAGTGCTTTTATTTTAATGTAAAGCAGATCCTAGCAATTTGTTGAAATAGAGTCAATGCAATGGTTATATGCAACAGATACCAGACTAAATGTCTACAGCAAGCCTAGGTTCTCTGTGAGGCTTACTGTACAGCTTTACCGGTATTTGGTCATAAAAAAAAAGGTATTAGACAAATTAAAATTGACTGGAATCTCTGGGGAACATGAATGGTTGTACATAATTTTGTGGCAGTCAATCCAATAGCAGACCAACTGACCATCTGAACGACCTTGCTGTGCCTAGAGCCACGGCTCTAGCATAGCGAAAAAATGTTAACTTTTCAGCCAAATTAAGCCAAGATGTCTAGATGTGTTTTGACCTGCAAATCACCATATCACTTCTTACTAGGTGGCTAGATGCACAATGACTCCTTCTCTATGGCCTATAAAAACACGGACTGTCCAGTACTATGTCACAGGCTGTCACTCTTTTCTGAAGTCCCTTTGTCAGTTGTTGCTTTTCTTCTTTTGGCAACTTGCGGTTATATCTGTCTGTGGAGTAGAGAAATACATTTTCTTTTATATTGGATTTTTGAAGGTGGTTTTACTCTGGTGCTATGATTCTTTTATACTCTTTCTTTATTTTTTTTATTTTCTTTGTCAAGTCAAGCCTGTAACCTGACCTCTGATCCAGCAGGCTGAAGTTATTCTCTGCTTGTATTGTTTTGTGCTTCAGTACTGACAGGTCTTGACACAGAAAGTAACCAATTTAAAACTTACTTGCTAATTTACTTGGTTGGTGTTTTATATAATGTAGCTTTTCTCATTAATTTTGAGAATAATCAAATGTCTTGTACTTCTTCCTCATACAGTTCACATGGAGTTATCATACGCTAATACTGCATTAGTACCATAACACAGACGCATTTAATTTAAAACCAGTATAAGTAAGATTAGATATACTTTATTGTCATATACACATACATGTAGCGAAAGTCATTCAGTATATCATATTGTAATTGGTCCATTAGGATTAGTAGGTACAGTATGACAGGAACATGAATTCATTTTTGTGTATAATTCCAAATATTTAGAAACTCTAAAAATTGTTCCTCTGCCATCTATTCTTATTCTTAGCTTGTTGAAAAGAGGCCAGATCTTAGCTGCTCTTGAGGATGAAGTGGATGTGCAGCTGTGAGCAGTTAAAGGTGGTGAATGTGATTCTAAGACAATAAACATAATTTTGTCAAATTCAGCAAAAATTTCCTCACGGTCCGCTAGCTGTCCGTTCAGCAGCAACTGTAGTGACTGTTTGCAAACCCACAACTGATGTAACAAGCTAACGTTACTTGCTGTGTTGTTGTTCACTCTATAACATGGTGTTTGTCGTGGAATTTGGATTTTCGCCGTATCACATACCCCTCCTTTACGAGTAGAGTTACTACAGGAGAAACATATGAATAAAGCTGGAATTATGCTTCTCCAAGGATCTACATGTTTTAGTTTAGCAGTCGTGCTTTAAAAAGGGATGATGTGAAAGCCCCATCTGCCCCATCAACACCAACACCTGCTGATGGACACTTTGGATCTGGTTTCTCAGAACAACATGTAAGAGACGTTTAAATGTTGAAGTTTTAGTTAATTTATTCCTGTGACTAGAGTAGTAGTTTTCCTGCCATCTGTCACCGGCCTAGAAAATTGTTATGGCAATCTAAAGGATGTCAGTTAAAGGGGATATCTGGAAATCCTATCAGTTTACAGCACGAGAGGCTTTTCCTCAAAATAGTTTTGCATTTAAATAGCCTGTAAAACACTCATAAACATTAGGCATACACACTGTTTCTCCCTCACTCTCCTGGCTGCTCATAATCTCTGCTACTACCCTATCCTCTATCAGTATTACCCAGACTGTTATTTTCACTTTCATCATGTCTTTGTCTTTTAAAAATACTTTTTTCAGACAAAGAATAAATAACACTTGTCTGTTCCTGGCTGTGTGTACAGATTTTGAAGGAATAGAGATGCATGATTTTTTATGTTTACCGCGAGAAGGTGAATCAAGACGTCAACTCAAGTAAAATACCGTCCATTATAACCATAATGACTGAAATGATGTTGATGATTATATACAAAGGAAACCCCTTGGCCTCTTATGCGAAGTGGCTAATTAGCCCCTAAATCTCATTAGCAGCAGTCAGGCTCGATGGGAGGCAGCAGCAGCGTGCTGCGTTAAAGCGCTGTTGGAGGTTTCAAGTAGGAACTGCAACTGATTTTAATTCCCAGAATGAGAGGTCTCTACAAGAGGAGTGAGACAGACGTGTTTGTCATAGGGCCAAGTATGTGCTCAAACTGTGGGTTTTACTTAGTGCATTGCACAAATGATAAAATCACAGCATATATAATAAAAATTCAAGCTGCATGATGTGGAGAAAAAACTAAACAAAATATTTGGGCTGTATGTGGCCTGTTTCTCACACCTTGTCCTTATCATTATCCTCCAACCTCAATTGTTTTACCAGCAGTAGATGTGCATTAGCTGGAAAAGGGTATTACTTACTGTAATGTAATGGTTAAGACTTAACTTCAAAGCATGCCATATTTCTGGTTGCTGGATTAGATAGTGTCATTTGACTTTGTGGGCAGTACTCTGACACTGAATCTTGAGTCTCTCTAGGTGGCAATCTTTCTGTCTTGCTGTTACCACTTCAAAAACATGAAAACTACCAGACAACGGGCCACAGATGAAATCTTTCCCTTACAGGATATAGGATTATATTTACAGAATGAAAATGTGGCAAATATGTTTCTCCTGCAGATTAAGTGAATTAGAAACTTTTGAATGGCCCTAAACTGGTATATTCTCTAGTCCTCTGGCCACCCTGAAGAAAATCAGAAATGGATGAAATGAGGGAAAATGTCAATGTACTGCAATACTGCAGAATGTGAATGAAAAATCTCAGTAGTATTAATACAGAATGCTTTCAGAATAAGTGCATTAAGTGGCACTTTTCTTGCTATTACCACCATTGTTAAAATGTTAACCTTGAAACCTGACCTGAACACCCAATTAATGATGAGTATTTGTCTACAGAGTGTTAATTGGTCTCTTCACACCAGAACTAATTACACTGGATAAAAAAAACTTAAATTGAACAGATACTGTAATTTAATTTATTTAATAAATGCACATTACACTTTCAGCAACACTTTCATTCTTCTGAATGATGTAATCTGCAATGTGTCACATCAAACATGTTTGATGCAAACAGGACATTGTTGCATTGCTCGGGAGCTGCAGGGAAGCGACCTTCTCACAGCTGAATTCCTCCTTTTTTCAGTGACCAGTGTTGCATTCATGAACTAGGAGAGTATGTCAGTGTTTGAAGCTTGTTTGAGTGTGATTAGATTAACTGTACTGTCTGAACGTGCGTCTGTGATGACACTTTCGTGTTGCATTAATCATGCTCTATATGACGGTCAAATAGAGGCTTCCAGGTTGTAGGATTAGCAGCCATACTATGACTTGGTGAACATACTGCAGATTAGAGAGAGAGCGGGGGACAGACAGAGCTTGATGGAAAGTGAAATGTGGTTTTCATTTTCAGTCTGAGCCAGGGATGAGTTTAGACTAAGCCTGGCTTGTGTGCACCCATCCTGCCACCCTCACACTCCTGCCCAAAAAATAAAAACAAAGTAGGAAATAGTAATAGTATTCCCGACTGCACTCAGAGCTCCTCTCAATCTCAATCTCTCCCTTGCTGATTGGACTCCCTCTTTCTTTCTGACTGTTTGCAGCTGGCTGTTAACCTTTCTTTCTATTATAATTGTTCCAGCTGCAAGCCATCCATTTACACTGCAGGGTTTAACGAACACTGGTTTGAAGTGGCTGTTCTCAACATGAAGTACATTTGTAGGCATGTGAAAGAGAAGATGATGCTTAATGAGGCCTTTTCTGGTTACATGTATAGTGGCATCTAGAAAATGT